CATTCACGTGGGCAATGGGCAACAATCCGTTGACGTATTACAAGACGCAAGACACGGTGATCAGCACGATCGGTCGATGGATGTACTTCATTGACCAGTTCGACTTCACCTCTAAGCACATTCCGGGCTCCTCGAACAAGGCAACTGATGCTCTCTCGCGAAGACCCGATCTTTGCGCCTTGGTGCGCTCCACATTCGGCCTCGACGAGAACCTGCAACAGCATTTCGTAAACGGCTACAAGTCGGATTCGGGATTCTTCACACTCTATGTGGACTTATCATCGGATCACCCGCCGGCAAGCAACTACCCCATTGTCGACGGCTACTTGCTTCTCCATACACGAGGCAAGGACTTGTTGTGTGTTCCCCAAGATCGCATCTTGTGCACTCGCCTCCTTGGCGAATGCCATGATTCGCGGCTGGTTGGACACCTTGGCGTCACACGCACTCTTGCACGACTCCTCCAGCAATTTCACTGGCCGGACATCATCAGCGACGTCAATCGGTACATTCAGTCATGTGCAGTTTGCCACCGGAACAAAGGGCGCTATCAACTTCCGTACGGCAAACTGGAACCATTGCCGATTCCACGGGAACCGGGTCTCTCCATTGCTATGGATGTGACCGGCCCTTTTCCTCGCGATCGCCTTGGCCATGATGGTATTGTCACGATCGTTGACCGTTAGAGCAAGTACGCGCGATTTCTTCCATGCAAGTATCATGCGACGGCTCCCGAGCTCGCACGACTTTTGCATACCGGCTGGTTTTGCAGCCACGGCGTTTCGGAAGACATCGTCAGCGACCGCGGCACTCGTTTCATGTCAGCCTTTTGGACGACACTCATGGTGGAATCCGGCACCAGCATGAAACCGAGTTCCGCACGACATCCTCAAACGGATGGGCAAATGGAACGTGCGCACCAGATTGCGTAGATGATGCTTCGCACACTCATCCGCCTGGATCAGAAGGACTGGGTTGACCGCCTTTCCGACATCGAGTTCGCCTACAACACTTCGGTGCACCCGACGATTGGCGTGACTCCATTCGAGTTGCATCACGGTGGACGGAAAAGATGTATCTTCACAGACATTTTGCTTCCGCGGGCTGCCGATATTGACGCCGCTTGCTCCCCCGCTTCTACACGAAAGTACAGGGAACTGCTGGCCAAAGCCCGCGCAAACATGCAAAAGGCTCAGGTCCGTATGCAGCAGCAAGCGAACCGACGTCGCATCCCATGTTCAATCCGCGCTGGCGACCTGGTTTGGGTCACCTCCGAGGAGTTTGCGCTCGAGCAGCACGTCTCGCGCAAGCTCCTCCCTAAGTGGTTTGGACCATGGAAGGTCACTTCAGCAGCTGGCGACGACCCCGCGGGTCCATCTTTCATCATTGAGATTCCCCCACATTTGACGGTCCACCCGATATTTCACACTTCAAAGCTGGCGGTCTACATTCCCGCCTCCGCAGCGGACTTCCCGGGCAGACGGTCACAAGACCGTCCTTCAATGGATGGTCATCAGGAGGTCGACCGCGTTCTCACGCATCGCAAGCATGGCAACAAGCCAATGCAGTACAAAGTTACATTCAAGCAATGCGATCCGAACGACACACGCTGGATTTCACGAGCGGACCTGAAGGCGACAACACCGCTCATCTTCGCGCATTACGAAAAACAGCGACTTGCTAAGGAAGCTGCCCAACCTGCCCGCCCCGTACGGACATCGGACAGACAGCTTCGCCCTTGCAGTTAGCTCGGTCTTCAAGGGGGGGAGTGTGTGGCATTATGAGCCACACGGGCCCCAGTAGGGCCCGGTTCCAAATAGGTAGGGTAGGCCTAAGGGACGACGGTTCAGATGAGGCCCAGATAGGCCAGGACCACGGCGGTTCAGGCAGGCCAGGGGTAGAGGCCCAGGCCAACGGCCACAAGGCCGGTACCGGTCCAGCATAGGACCTACCGGCGCCGCTGCAGAGGCTGCCGCGTTTAGGCGCCAAGTTCCAGTTTCAAAACTGGACCGTTGATCAGGTCAACGGTCCAGGCCGGTAGGTACCAGCAGGTAGGAGGCCGGCCCAACACTACAAAAGGCTGGGTACCAGCCTCAGTAGGGAGGTTAGAAGTTGGTGAGGTTGGAGTTAGTCTTCAGGATTAGCGCAGCCTTGCAGCGTTAGTGAGATTAGTGTAGCGCAGCAGCGTTAGGACGAGCAGCGAGGAGAAGCCGAGCGCAGCAGCGAGAAGGAACAGACGCAGCGGCCCTGCCGCGCCATAGCTACCGGATCAGGTACCGGGGAGGAAGGCTTTGCCTTCTCTCCCTCTGTTCCTCGGCCCCCCTGCTCTCTCTCTCTCTCTCTCTCTCGCTCTCCTCCTACCTTCTCAGTCTAAGTCTACTCCTGGTTTCTCCTACGGGACTACTATGAGTATGAAGGATGGTTACGAATTCTGATGACATTGGAGACAGCGACACTGGGACTGTAGGTTGAGGACTAGTGGGATCTGATTTCATCTTCCTCTGGAGATGTACTTGGCATTGTGAGATCGATATCTGACACATTGTGGGACACTATATTCGCGACATTTCGGATTTTCGTCATCTCTGACATTTCAAGATACTATCTTTGGAAACATCGAGTTGAGGTCATCTTCCCTCTCCTCCTCCTCTCGTCTCTCTCCTCTCTCCCTTTGTTCGTGGATGATCTCAGGCCAGGGCTTTCACACCCCTGATGTATGATTGAGAGTGTTCGTTTGCAGTCTGAGTCAGGTTAAAGTGTCCAGGTATCTCAAGTCTTCCGCTTGCATTTGTATTAACTCTGTATCATCTGGTCAGTTCTGGGAATCTGCGCCATACTTATGACTGTGTTTCATGAGTATGCAACACCATTCATCCCCGAATCTTGTAGATATCGGCGCCTCTCAACTGCAAGGAGGGGGGAACGGCGGAGGGGGGGACACTTCAGCGAGCGAGAATGGGGAGGCGGGCGGTGGAGACGGATCGGGAAGCCGATCGACGGGCGGTTTCAAATTTTCGACAAGAAAGAACGCATGTCAACAGGCGTTGGAGGCGGTGACCGACATGATGAACACATACTCCACTGTCGTTGCGGATTTTGTGGACAGGGCGAGCAAGTGACAATGCGACGTGCTGCAGCGGCAGTGCAATGTGATGGAGAGGGAGGTGAAAGTGCACGAGACGCAGTGTGAAGTGCTCAACGTGGGGCAGCGCATGTTCTGTGAGGCACTAATGAAGATCGTGGAAGCCCTGGTCAGGCCTTGATGAAGAGAGTGGGACGGCCGTGAGCGCGATAGGTGCATCGATTTGAAACATCGTTTGTCAGTGTCTAGTCGATTCGGTTCGGTTCGATTCCGATTGATGTTTTTTTTTTTTTTTGTATAATTTTTGCAAAGTGACATTTATTTTGATGACGTTGGTAGAACATCTTGATTTTGCACTACGTGCCGCACTCGCCTTGTTTGACGTTCAGGAATCGTTGGTCGCTATTTAAATGGGCTTCAAGTACTTCCGCAGAAGTGGTTGGCTGCGCGCTCGACGGAGGTGTTTGCTCACAACTCGCGCTTGCCACAGCAGGACATTTCAACGGGACTGGAAGGACAAAGGGTCGGGGGCGTCAGGCATTTGCGGTCCATCAGAGGAGGCAGATCAGCGATCGGGAATTGTGCACACACCATGAACATCGTGATTGTGTGCAGGGGGCGGGTGCTGGGAAGGACCGTCATCTTCTACGAGTATACAAGCACAAGAGGGGGGAAGGGGGCGATCGCCGCGTGGAAGTCGACGAGGCTGTCACTCACGAAGACTGGAGCCATTACGAAGTGGATGCTGACGGGCGAACATGCCTGGAGGTGGATGTGTACCTGGGGTTTGCACGGTGATTGCTATGCGATGTCGTGATCTTCCTCACGAAGATTGGGTCCGCAGTTCCCAACCGTTGGAGAGGCGGTGTCGATGTTACAGGGGACATGGTGGAGAGGCGGTGTCGATGTTACAGGGGACATGGTGCGCATGTTGGTTTCCGTCCTCGCAAAAGAGTTCGAGGAGCGCCTCCACCGCCCGGAAACGTTTCGAGTCGTGGTGGATGCGCCACTGGAACCAAGAGACGATGTACACGACAATTTTCGCGTTCTACGAGATGATGTCGTCTGACCTTTGTTGTGGATGCGGTGTTTCTGTACTTCATCCTG